CGCGGCACCCCGCGGCACGGGCTAGATAGTTCGAACTAAGTAGCCATTCCAAACTATCTGTACTCCTCGTGGAACTACGTAGTTCGAACTATCTAGCCCGTGCTGCATGTAGCCGCGCGGCATGGGGTTCGAACGAGCCGGGATTTAAAAATGGCGGCTCCCCGCTTGTGCAAATGAAGCCCGGGAAATTCAAATCCCGGGCTTCATTTGCGAGTGCGGTATGCCTACATTACCCTCCTAGTTCGAACTAGGAGGGTAGTATAGACATACCCGGAGAGAGTTGGGATGAAGCAGGTGGCTGTGACCTAGGGCAGGGAACTGAAGTGCAGGGGTTTGGGATGTGACCTAAGGTAGGAGTGGATTGTGATCTGGGGCAGGAGACTGGGGTGACAGATCTGGGAGGGGGTAGCGGTGTAAGAGGGGGAGAGAGGGTTTGAGTATATTGAGTAGGGGGTGCAGAGAATCGGGGTAGGAAAGGACTGGGGTTCCAGAAGCAGGCTGTGGCCAAGAGACTTGTCAGCTGCCAAAGTAGTCTGCCTGCCTGCAGAGCTTAAAATGTTTCCCAACACACCTGCCTGCTTTCCAGGCCATGTGCTTCATGATAACTGAGCCCAGGAGAGAGGGGCATGGTTCTTCTTGGCTGCCTGTTTTTCTAACAAGCACCTCGCATTGGCTGCTTTCTGCCAGAAACTGGCCAATGGGAATGTGCTGGGCGCGGGGCCACTCCTAACCCCCCCCTCCAGTTTCAAAACAGAAACTGAGTCTTGCAGTTGCTTTTCTGCATGGGGGTGGGGCATGCAGGAGAGCCTGCCTGGGTTCCCCGCTGCCTCCATGGGCCAGATTTGAGGGCTTTGTAGGCCAAATGTGGCCCACAGGCTGTATTTTGCCCAGGCCTGCTTTAGGGTTAGACTTATTAAATTCTAAAACAACAAACTACATTGGAATTGGAGGGCAAAGTTTATGAACATGATATTCTGCTTAAAAATGCATAGGTCTATTCCCATATATATTGAACTAAGAACCCTTCCAATTTTAATTTTGCTGAACAACAGTATTGAAATATCTGGTGAAAACCATCACTTATAAATGTTAAATCTTTAAAGTTCTGCAAATGTAAGGATATTTAATTTATATCAATGGGTATTTGCATCCGCAGATGTGGATGTAGATATCTGCGGCTCATTTTTGTGAATACAGATGCAGAAACAAAATTTTGTACAGGCAGTCCCCGACTTATGCGGATCCGACTTATGTCGGATCTATCTGGTGAAAACCATCACTTATAAATGTTAAATCTTTAAAGTTCTGCAAATGTAAGGATATTTAATTTATATCAATGGGTATTTGCATCCGCAGATGTGGATGTAGATATCTGCGGCTCATTTTTGTGAATACAGATGCAGAAACAAAATTTTGTACAGGCAGTCCCCGACTTATGCGGATCCGACTTATGTCGGATCCGCACTTACGAACGGGGCTTTCTCGCCCCGGAGCTCACAGGCAGCGGTCAGCCACCTCGAGCTCCGGGGCGAGAAAAGCTGCTCCCGGTGCCCCTGGTCTGCTGGGGACCATCTCCAGCAGACCAGGG